GGCAGGTTCAAATTGTGTTGGCCGCACAGAAGATCCAGGACTTGACGGAGTTGGCGGAGATGGCCGACCAGTTGGTGGAGTTGACCGAGAGGCCTACCTCCGTGAGCCAGGTTTCGGCGCATCATACCTTTGAGCCCACTCTCGCGTCAATGCAGCGGCAGATCGAGGAATTGACGCGAACAGTCTCAGCGCTCAGAACAAACACCCATGAACGATCTGGGAGCTCACGCGTTAATCAAAAGCGGAGCCGCTCTCGATCGCGCTCACGCCCACGTAATCAGAAGCTTTGCTGGTACCACGATCGTTTCGGCAACAAAGCAAGCAAATGCATACCAGGATGCAGCTGGACCATTGAAGGAGCTACCAAACCTTTAAACTAAGGGAGCGGTCGGACGTGGCAAGTACCGACCGCGCACAGTCCAGCAAACGCCTTTTTATTACCGATCAAAATACCAAAATTAATTTTTTGATAGATACCGGTTCGGACATTTGTTGTTTTCCACGAAAACTTATAAAAGGACGTTTCTCAAATACAGGACTTACTCTCAATGCGGCAAATGGCAGCTCCATTAAAACTTACGGCACAGTTAATCTGAACCTCAATTTAGGACTGCGCCGTGAATTTCGCTAGGAGTTTATTTGTGCTGACGTGGATGTCCCAATTATCGGTTCGGATTTCCTAGCTTTCTTCCACCTCCTACCCGACTGCCGTAGCGGCACACTGCGCGATGAGCTTACAAACTTATCCGCATATTGTTGTAACCGCAATATAATGCAGCCAAGTATTAGGACCGTAAAAAAACCGTCTCGCGATTCCCTGTTCAATCAACTCTTTTTAGACTACCTACAACTGACCGTCAAATAAAACACAGCACTGTTCACTATATAACGACAACTAGTGGGCCGCCTGTCACGTCGCGTCCTCGTCGACTAGCACCCAACAAGCTAAAAATTGCTGAGAAGGAATTTAATGACATGGTGTCGGCGGGTACTGCCCATCTAAAAGCCCCTGGTCGTCACCACTGCATTTAGCACCCAAAAAGGATGGCATGTGGCGTCCTTGCGGAGACTACAGGCTCTTAAACGCTCGGACAGTTCCCGATCGGTACCCTGTGCGTCATATAGGAGACTTCAGTCATAATCTGGCTGGTTCTACTATATTTAGCACATTAGATCTAGTAAAGGCCTACCAGCAGATTCCGGTAGCTGGTCCAGATGTTTGCAAAACGGCCATAATAACGCCATTTGGTCTTTTCGAGTTTCCCTATATGTCATTTGGGTTACGCAACACTGGCCAAACCTTCCAGCGTTTCATCAATGTGATCTTGCGCGGACTAGACTTCGCTTTTCCCTACATTGACGATAGTTTGGTATTCTCACGGGATGCTGAAGAGCACGCCAAACACCTGCGCATAATCCTGCAAAGACTGGTGGACTATGGCGTCGTTGTCAATGTGGATAAGTGCGTATTGGGGACATGTGAGGTAATCTTCCTAGGTTATAAGATAACCAAGGATGGTATCTGCCCACCTGAAGAGAAGATCGCTGCTCTCCGCGAGTTATCGCTTCCCAAAACAGCTCAAGGTTTGAGACGCTTCCTGGGGATGGTAAATTATTACCGCCAATTTCTTCCCAAAGCCGCCAAGCTCCAAGCTCCACTTGTGGATTTTTTAACAGTCAGCAACCTAAAAGGTTCAAAAGCTATCCCCTGGACAGCAGACTTGGAGCGTGCTTTCTACGAGTGTCGCGACAGTCTCTCAGAGGCCACCATGCTTGTACATCCGTAACGAAATGCTCGTTTAGGGTTGTACACGGACGCCTCCAGCACTCATGTCGGCGCTGCCTTACAGCAAAGGTCTGATCAAGGCTGGCAGCCGTTGGCATTCTTTAGCAAAAAGCTAACAAACAGCCAAAGTACATGGCCCGCGTATTACCGCAGTGTACGCGGCCGTACAGCATTTCCGGCATATACTAGAGGCACAACACGCGACAATCTACACGGACCACAAGCCGCTTCTTTATGCTTTCGTCCAACGCCGTGAAAAATTGCCCCCTGCTCAACTTAACCAACTTACGTTTATTTCCCAGTTTACAACTGATATCAAACATGTGAAGGGGGAAGACAACATCGTTGCTGACACAATGTCCCGCATTGAGGCTATCACGCTCGATGACGATTTCGCAGCCCTGGCAAAAGCTCAGCAGACGGACGACGAACTTAAAACCGTAAAGGTCCATTATTCTTTACAGTTAGAGCCAACCCTCATACCTGGATCCAACATTTCCGTTTTGTGTGATATGTCAACAGGCAAACCTAGACCCTTTTTGCCAAAACAATATCGGCGAGCCGTCTTCGATCGCCTGCATGGTCTCAGCCACCCCGGCGCACGCGCTTCCGCGCGCCTCATTAGCGACCGCTATGTTTGGCCAAGCATTGCTAAAGACTGCCGCTCCTGGGCACGCGAGTGTCTCGCCTGCCAGAGCAGCAAGGTAACGCGCCATGTCGTTTCACCGCTTGGCAACATTAGCACACCTTCAGGCAGATTCCGTCATGTTCACCTGGACATTATTGGACCGATGCCTTCTTCAAACGGATTCACTTATTGCATAACAGCAGTAGACCGTTTCTCACGCTGGCCCGAAGTTTGGCCCATGTCGTCGATAACCGCAGTAGAAGTCGCTGATCAATTCACCCATGGCTGGATCGCTCGCTTTGGTGTACCGATCACTGTCACAACGGACCAGGGACGTCAATTTGAGTCCCAACTTTTCAACAGACTGATGGATTTAGTAGCCAAAAAACGCGTTCGTACTACGAGCTATCATCCCCAAGCTAATGGGATGATAGAGCGTTTCCACCGCCATTTAAAGGCCGCTTTAATGTGTCACAAGAGTTGGTACCATGCCCTACCTTTCGTTCTTCTCGGAATCAGGGCGGCACTAAAAAATGACATCAAAACGTCAGCTGCAGAAGTTTTGTATGGGGAACCGCTACGCCTACCAGGCGAGTTCCTGGTGGCTAGCAATTCCCCTCAGACCGTGGACGATGATTTTGTTGCACAGTTGCGAAAACGGATGGCAGAACTTCGCCCCGTTCCAGCATCACGTCACACGAATTCTAAAACTTTCGTTTTCAAGGACTTACCTGATGCTACTCACGTGTTCCTCCGCGAAGATTCCGTTCGACGCCCTCTACAGCCACCTTATACAGGCCCCTACAGAGTGTTGAAGATATCTGACAAGACACTTACCTTAGACATTTCTGGCCGAAGATCTGAGGTTAGCATCGACAGAACAAAACCTGCGTATATTGCACCTGACCCAGACGGCAATCCGTCCCCTAACAACTTGGCACCGGAGCCCCCAGTCCTTCCGACTCTTTCACCTCCTATTAGCCAAACGGCCGTGCCCATTAAAACGCCCGCACAGCCTGTAACAACCCGGTCGGGTTAAATTTAAATTTTAAGGTTTAATTAAATTAATTTTAGGTTAAAGAAAGTTTAAGTTTTTAAAGATTTTTAGATTTATAAGTACTAGTGTTTAATACGTTATTTTTGTTAAAGCAGAGTTTTTTTTAAATTTTAAGTTTCCAATGTTTATTTTTTTCGTTGTATAAATTAAAATTCCATTAGTTAAAAATTATCCTAAATAATGTTGCTTGTACTTTTATAATAACAGTGTATAATTATTTGATTGTTACATTTTATACTTGTTTTGCCTTCAATGTGTACTTATTTTTCTCCGTAGGGGGTGATGTGGCGACTCATTTGCTACTGTGTAGCACCGCTCTTATCTTTTACACCCTTACTCTCATCGGTCTAGCATTACCCTATTATTGACAAATTTCTATAGCAACGAGTGACAATAAAAGATTGTTTTTCTCAACACGGCTTGTTCTTTGTACTACATCTTAATTATTCCCTCCTGCCGGCTCCCAAAACGTCCTCGTATTCGGGAATTCGCTTAATTAGTACAGATAATTCTTGAATACAGCATAACTTATTTGTGTTTGGCGGTTTGTATACGGTGATTATGTGTATGGTGGTGTCAGAGCTCGTTAAGTTGACTGTGCAATATTTCCAAACCACAGCTTTGCGGGTTTACTGTTTGCAGGCGCAATTCATTTTTAGACTACACTAATAAGCCTCCTCCTCGTCGATTTTCTCTTGTAAAGATTTGTCAAAAGGTTGACCTGATATTAAGTGATATCCGCCGTCCATTGAAATTTAACCACCCATAGGGTTTCAGATGGGTTGCCTCCTTATAATAAAGTGGTCCCAGCTATCTCACTCACCAGATGAAACGCAGAAGTGTATCAATTTCACTTCATATCCCTCTCCTGTGAGGTTGTGGTAATTGCCCGGACCCGGACTGATCTACCCATTTGTGTAAAGAGCACGACCGCTGCATGGTTTATAAGTGGTATATTATTTGCAAACTATTAAAACTGTTAAATATCCAAATGTTCTCTAAGTTTATGGGACACAAATAGGTTTCATCATGATCGCTTCTTCTATAAAGCAAACAACTGAATCTGAAATTCTTAATTGTCTTTAAAAATTTTAAATTAATTTTTCTGTACAATGATTTGGATACAGAACATGTCAATGTCAATATAAAAAATAATAACGTATTTTCCTAATTTAACCAACCAATCTTTATTTTACAGATAGTGAGAGAAAAAATTCCATTGGATTAGAGCCATCAAGCCAGAAGTAAAAATATATGTCTTCGAAACTGATTCCCTGAAGTTTAGACATGAAAAGATCAAATATTCTATATGATAAATGTAACATACATTATGTATTTATCTCATATACAAAGCCTTTATGTATTTTCAATAAAAGTGTATAGGAGTTGATTTTAATGTAAGCATTTTATAATTATCATTGAATACATAACAATTATAGGTATATTGGTAAATTTAATAAATTATTTAACACAAATAGTCATATGTAATTGTTTTATTTACAAAAATATTACCATGTGAATGTGAACTACCGTCTAGCAAAATGTTCATCCATGTGACGTCGGTCACGTTGTATGTAGTGTCGGTTAGAGTGTATCCGACTCTCAAGAGATTCTGGCAAGGCCCGAGCTTCATTATGAGTATAATGACGAGAAACGATAGAACTCTTCTCCGATGCCTCCTTTTCTGCCAACTGAAGCGCAACACGGCGGCCTCGTTGAACTTCCCGCTCTGCTCCAGCAGCCGCCATTTCTGCTAATTTGGCAGCTTTCTCCTTATCACTCATTCCTACTCGCACTTTGCTTTTGTGTTTCCCTTTTTCAATGTGTCTTTTATAGTCCTTATTGTGTGTTGGCTCTTGTTTACTATGCCTTTTATCAAGTTCTTCATTGGGATCATTACAAGCTCTGTCGTAATATTTATTTTCTATTTTACTGCTTTGTCTTTGTTTCTTACTTTGTACTTCATCATAACAGCCTTCATCTTCAGATTTCCTCTTCTTTTTTTTACACTCAGTTGATTCTGCAGTCCTCTCTATATCAAATGATTTCTTTCTTACATCTTTTTTAGATTTTTTTAGTTCTGAAGTAACAGAATCTTCAATCTGACATTTATCAATGTTTTTGTCTTTTTTCCTTTTCTTTATCTTCTTTTTATCTTTCCTTTTCTTCTTTTTATTTTTACTTCCATGTACTGATGAATCAGATGAATCAGACGAATCATCAGAAGCAAGTAAAGTTTTTAAATCCAAGCCATTTTTTGCACCTAACGCATTCAATTTGGCTGCTAAAATGTTATCCAAATCTTTACTTTTACTTTTTAACTTTTTTTCATCTTTGTTTTTCTTAGATTGTTCCTGTAAACAAAAGAGTTAAATACATTATTTATTTCCTCCCAAACTACCTAAAATTGCAAAATGCTAAACTGCAGGACGCATGGTTGCTGTTCCTTTTTCCTAACCTCAACTAAATATATGACTAACTACAGACATTATTTTACTTAATATAATTTGTTCTGATTTCAGTTTTCATCTTATGTAGTCCCTCAAATTATATTTTGGGTATTTTTTTTCACTAGCATTCGGGCGTTTTTTGACCAAACAAATTTTATTCGGTAAAATAAATCATTAATGAAATAATCAACAAGCAGAATTGGGCGATCGCTTATAGTTTTTGAGAAAAAAAAATATACCTATTTAAAACATTATTTTCACTAGGAAAGTTCGCACTTTATTAAGCTAGATATATTTCCCACAAGTGTATTAATGTTCTTTTAGAATATAGCAGGTTTTGGAGTTTATTTCTTACTTGTTCTTTTCTTAATAATTCTGTCAGGCGCCGTCTTTGCAAAGGGTTATTTAATAATGCAGCCCTGGCTGCTCGTTCTCTTTCCTTAATTAATAGTAAGGGATCCTCCCGAAGTTTTCGTGCTAAATCAACTTGTGTATCAGTTGATGTGGCCAATGTACTAGCACCCACAACTCTTCGTGCTACAGCTGGTATAAAATCCTGACTGCCTTTATCCACTTCTTCATACTTAGAATCAATTGATTTTCCGAGCAAATAATCTTCGTGCTGCCCTTTTTTATCAGGTTTCTATAAAAATATAAGTTGTCTCTATTGATTGTTACTATAACCTTATTTATAATTTTGGTCAAATGTTACATGCATTTATATGATACAAAATGCATGCAATATTTATAAATAAATAAGTAAATTATATATTCTGTACAAAGAAAAATTTAATAGCATTTATCCTAAATAAATACAATAATATTAATTAATAATAATAAATTGTAATATGTACAATACATATTACATGTGTATATATATCTTAATAATTATACCATAAATACACTGTGTGTTACTTTACTTTAGAGATATCTATGAAATATAATAAAAGAGAACTCAGTTTTTCTTTAATGCAAAATGTTCATTACACTGTTAACATAATTTCTAAATTGTATTGAAACTTATACATACATCATACATCCAATGTAAACGATTCTCAACAGAAGAACTTCCACCACCCGCAGCACGTTTTGCTATTTCATTTAAGTTTTCTCTATCTCTTTCTTCAGCACGTTCTCGCTGCAATTCCATAATGCGTTTTTTCTCTTCAGCTGCTGCTTGCTCTGCTTTCCAAACACGTTCTTGATTTTTTAATGTGTTTGGATGCCAGGCTTTCTTAGAATTCTGTAATAAAATAAAGAAACGCTATTAATTCAAGTAATGATAATAAATTATTTGCAATAGAAAAATTTACTTACAAGGTCTCCACCACCCATTCTGTTTTCGTACACAAGATATTTATAACTAAGTGTACTTAACCGGCTAAGCTGGTTAAACCCTCCCAAGATTTCTCCAATACTCAAAATCTAAATTAAAACAAACACATATTACATATTATTGACGTCATCAAAATAAAACACGAAAATTTCGAAATGTCAGTGTCATAGGCATCGGCAAAAAATATCAATACACATAAATATCGATATTTTCCGAAATAAATATCGATATATACCCAGGGACTTATATAACCCTGAAGTTACCAAAAAATTTACAATTTTCGTATCTTTTTTTTCAACAAAAAAGTTACAAAAAAAGACATAAAAATTGAACATGTAGGAATTTAAAAACTAGGTATTATAGTGTTATGAATTTTTTTTGAAGTGAAACTTCTTTATCGGGGTTGGAAAAAAATTTAGTGTAACATTTTTCCGTTACGCGCCATCTTTTTTTTTATCTTAAAATGTTCCTCTAACGCCATCTAGTGTTGAATAGGGGGTTTTATGTCGTCTTTATTCTTTAGTGGTTTTAATAGTTGACGCTAGATGGCGTCAGTTCCTTTGTGTGTTCATAGCAATATATATATATATGTTATATTAAAGTGATCAGCAAAATCAAAAGGTTTATTTTAATTCTAATTCTAAAATGTAAACAATATATTTCGTATTTCAGTTACCATAAGCCATTAATAACACAAATATATAATGACGACATCAATGATAGTAATAATTCTATTACAATTAATGAAATTCAATAATAATCTTTGTAGTAATGACAGCTCTAATACTTCAGAGCACGACACTGTGTCGACTTCCTCTTCTCCAAAGGCAGGCACCGCCCACCGTGACCTGACTGCGCCTTTCACCGAAGACACAATCTGAAGCTGACCGATGATGCTCTTCGAAACCTCGATCGGCTCCTGGAACTTGCGGTTGCGACGTCGATCCAACGTCCGCAAGTTCGGTTTTCCAAAAAAACTTCACTCACAACACTCGCGCGCGAGTCGAATGTCTGCCTTCTACTCACTGGCTGACTATTCGGCAACGAAGGACCATGTACAAATTCAAAGCGGTTGTATTTTGGGTCCGTGAGGTTAATTCAAATAAACAAGGTTCACGTTGCAAGTTATCAACCATTTTTAATCAACCATTTTTGCGGACCCCCATACTAATTACAACGGTCAAACCATAGTGTGTTTTAATTTATTACTAACGCCACTTATGTATTACAAATAAGAAACTAAATATTATACAAAGCTAAAATGAAATAATTGTAGAATTTGTATTTATGTCTATGATAATAAAAGCCTTTTATTAAACTTTATCTAATTTAACTTTATTTAACCAATTTCTGTAAAGTTGCATATAGTAAATTATTTTTTGAAAAATAACGTCATAAAAAAGTTTCACTTCTTACGAGTGTACGCTAGTACACGCACACATTTTTTCTTCAGTTTCACGAGAAGTTTATCAACTAGTTAAATTCTTCAACTATTTAGCGTGATTCTTATGTCAGTTTGCATGATTTTATTAAGCGCTTCGACGTTTAATGAGTCCAAATCGTCTGACTAATGAATATTTTACAATTTTATACAATTTCAAATTAATAAATTTACGTAAAAAAAACCACCTTTAAAAGAAGTGAAATTAAAAAGTCGCCCATAAGGTATCTAATTTTCCAGGCTTAGCTGTGAATCTGCCAGTACTCAACTATATAGAATAGAAGCCGACAGGGGAGCACATTAAACAGAGGATGCTGCTAATGTTCATATCAGATGATTATTAGTTCGAATAAATTGTATTTATTGAGTCGATTATTAATAAATATTACTTTTTCCTTCGTGGTTATTCTTTTTCACGAATTTTGAATGGTTTGGAAATAAAAAAACTTATCTAAAAAAACTTAACTTATATATCCCTTAATAGATATTTTCCACTCGATAGTTATCGATAGTTTTTAAAAATGTCGATACGATAAATATGAATTTTTTTTTTTTTGCCCATCCCTAAGGTGTTCAGTGGCAATTAATCGTCTCGGACGTAAATAAACGTAGTGATTACATTCTCTTTGGTCTCGGAGCAATGAAGTAATGTTAAAATCGTTGACTTTCATATTATGACTCCTTCACTCATGCTGTTTACCTAATAGATTACGTATGATATCCTCACTGGTTGCTATTGTATTGTTTTCTAGTGTGACTTTCCCTATACTTGTGGAAATCGTTATACCTGCTTCCGAGGTATTCTCTGATAGAAAACGATTAGGAATTATTTACAGATGTACCATTATCTGTGAACCATGGATCAAAAGTTTGGATCAAATGGCGACTCAAAATATTACAATCTAGGTATATCATTTGAAGAAGAAATAAATTTATGGAACTTCATCTATCATACATTTAGATCATATTGCAATCATGCCTTCGAGTCTCCTTAAACTTGGTGTACTGTATAAAAAAGGGAATAAACGCGGTAATTGTTTATAATAGCGGCACGAGCGTTAGATAGATGTAATCGATAGAGCCGGGGTTAGAAAACCATCCGGATTCTGCGCTACGTATACCTACGCGAAAGGCACCTATTTGACATTAGCTCTATAATACCTACGTCAAAATTCTATCTCCAATAACCAAATCTATCTGTAGATAGAATATAGAATGCCTCACGCAAACATTTACATCATAGTAAGCCAACCGTCAGCCATTTCGCGGCGTAGAAATTTCTTATCTTGACCTTTTTTTTTTAATGTAAAAAAGTGGCAATCGAGCTGGCTGTTCACCTGATGTTAAGTAATGCACCGCCACCCATGGACATTTCCAACACCCGTAGGGTTGCAAATGCGTTGCCAGCTTTAAATAAAGTGGGCCCCGGTTACATCACTCACCAGACGAAACGCAGAAGCATAACACATTTACTTTAAACACACTAGTTCGCCCTCGCCTCCGAGCACGGCGAGACCAACACAACGCGTACACCGCGTTCCGGGGCGGCTATCACCGCTCCCAGCCACCGATTAGGTAATTGCACAATCGACGGCCATCGGGGTTTCGGTCCGAACCGCGACCTCGATGGCCCTTAGATGACACACCATACTTAAACGCACGCAAATCTTTAGGTACTCTCGGAACTCAAAATCTTAACAGATGTGTCAATGTTGTCAGGAAATAAATGGGTAATTTTTCCGAGAGATCGTGTAATGCATTTTATCGTGCTCTTTGTGATTATTTGCAAGCATTGACTATGAATATTATTTTTATTGGTTTCATACAGCAAATCAAGCATGGATCAACGAGTAATAAGAAACTGCAGAGATGAAGAAGACCATTGAATTACATCCAAAACAAGCGTGATATGTAATATATAAGTAACTATGACCTACTATAACCAACTTTATCTGTGTCCATTATTCTGTAATGTGAGTGTAATGTTCAGTTTGCGATCCTAATTAAATTAAAAAAAAATAGGTGAATGTGACAGATGATATAGAACGTATGATACGAAAAGAGATAGCAGTCTATAGAATTGCAATCTCGATCACACTAATTGGCGTAATTTGAACACCTCAGTTTCGGTGCTCTCCTGCCATATCTACCTCATCACTACATAGTATAAAACAAAGTCGTCCCGATGCCCGCAACGGATCGGATGCGATTTTTTTACTAGATAGAGTGATTCAAGAGGAAGGTTTATATGTATAATAAATTGCACCCGCGCAAAGCCGGGGTGGGCCGCTAGTATTTATATATAATATTGTTACGTAATCCTTGGAACCCTATTCCAAGGATTTGGAGAGAAAGACCTGCTGACTCTTTTGAAGACTTTATTCACTAGCGCTAGGTCCAACACAAAGCACTAGGTCCAAACACTAAGCACTGACGATGTCCTAGGTTGTAGCCAAGTCGTAGGTTTCACTGGTATCGCTCTTGATCACTAGTTTTCGCTCCGAAGTCGCCTCGAAGGTAGCTCAAACTGAACTGTCATCGCTTTTTTTTTTTTTTTTTGGGCTGGATGAGCCACTGTTGGCCTTAGGGGCCTTTACAGATCCGACGGACTTGAGGTGGCCGGGCGCTCGAGGCGCCTAGCCTGAACCTCGCGTATTTATTATTACGCGTTATGGTGACTAAGCTCGAGGGCTCCCGAAAGAACCTCGGCTCGGGCCGTCACACTATTTAATTCACCGGTTTGGGAGGCCGCCTAGCTCTTAGGGCGCTTTGGCGGGGGCTCCATGGAGTGATCAGGCTCAAGGGTCCCCGAGAGGGGACCTCGGCTTGGGCTGTCACTCAACACGCGTTTAGCATTCCGATTCGAGGGTGCCCGAGAGGGCCGGACCTCGGCTCGATCGGTAGCTGTTATCTGACTGGGGGGATCTCTAGAGCTATCGTTACTACCACTTCGTAAACCGCACTCGCCGGCGAGTGCGGCTTGTGTTGGTGTGTTTGCGAAGTTTTTTAATCCTTTCGATGGCGATAGTCGTCTCATCGTCAGGGAAATCGAGAACGTGTCGCGGTCTACGGTGATTGCGGCGGAACGTACCTAGCGGCAGGGGTCTGTAGATGGCGGCACCTACGATTAGCGGGTTGGGATGCGCGGCGGCGGAATCGAAGTATCGGTGCGACGCCGACTTCAGGAATTGAGCGATGGTGGGCAACTCTAAATCGACATGAAGGTCGATATTGCGCATGTACCAGGGTGCTCCCGTGGCTCTGCGCAAAAATCGATTTTGGATGACCTGAAGCCGGTGTATTTGCTTCGGAGCAATGTGTGCGAAAACTGGACTCGCGTACGTCATGATAGGGCGAACTACTGCCTTATATAGAGTCACCTTGTTCCGAAGGGACATTTTAGACGTTTTGTTGAGGAGCGGATGGAGGCGACCGAGTACGAAGGCCGCCCGGTTCTTGACCCGAGTCACGTGCTGGTTGAATCTAAGTTGGGAGTCAAGGACGACACCTAAATATTTAACTTTGTTCACCCATGGTACCGGACTATCCATGAGTTTA